AGAGTGCATTTGGTCCTGCTAAGTGTTGAGTTTATTCAAGACAGCTGCAGCCGCTTCTCTGAACTTAACCTCACAAGTGATATTTCATTCCTGGCAGGAGCAGAGTAGAGTGGAGTGGGAGATTCCTGAACAGCCCAAGGATAGAGGGCTTATCACATCCCCATTTCATGGGGCTCCCACGCTTGCAGCCCTGAGAGTCAGCTGGGTTCTGGGCATCACTGCACCATGTGTGTTTCTGTTTAGAGAAGTCATTTTTTTCATGGAAGCAGCGGAACATTGATGTCCCTGGCTCTGACTTTGCTATGTGAGTCATAGAGCAGTTTCCTCTGGGAGTGGCTTCAGAGGGACGCAGGGTTTAGCAAGGTCAGGTTGTTGTGCTATGCTGTACAATGAAGGAAAGCAAGCAAACCAGCCAGGAGCACAGAAGCTTGGCTGGTTTTGATTGTCAGTTCAGATGGGTATAAATATCCAGTGCTTGTACCAAGCAACCCCTTCCTCGGTATCTTACAGCTGTGAAACAACAACCCTGGGAAGTAAATGATATTATTATCTCCATTTTGCTGATGAGGAAACTAAGGCATGCAGAGGTTAAGTGACTTGGCCAGAGTCACACAACGAGTAAAGTATCTGAGATCAGATTTGAACTCTTCTTCCTGCCTCTAGACTCAATGTTTTGTTCCCTCTGCTTTTGAGCATCCCAGCACCAGTGCCTTTCCACACCTGGACTTTGTATTTAATTTGGGTATATTTTGTATCTGTGGGCAGCTAGGTGGTACAGTGGGTAAAGTGCCAGACCCGGAGTCAGGAAGATTCATCTTCATGAGTTCAAAACTGATTTCAGACACTTATTCACTGTGTGACCCTCGTTGAGTCACTTGGCCCTGTTTGCCTCAGTTTTCTCATCTGTAAAATGAGCAGGAGAAGGAAAATGGCAAACCACCCCAGTATCTTTGTCAAGAACACCTCAAGTGGGGTCACAAAGAGTCAGATACAACTGAAAAATGGCTGAACAACATACATTGTGTCTGCTTATATAATCCTGTTGTCTCCCTACCCCACCAAGTATATGAGGTTCTTAAGCATAGGGTTACTTATTTCTGTCTTTCTATCACCAGCGCTTGACCAGTGCTTAGCATAGTGTAAGGCGTATGGTAAGCATATAATAAATAGTTGTTGTTGACAATTACTAAATGTTAAAATAATAGTAATAGTAATAATAATAATAATAATAACAATAGTTTTTCGGCCCAGAGTTGTGATTTCATTGCTACAGGAACATTTCACAGAGGAAAATCTCTCTGCCCACGCAGGTCAGCTGCCCTTTTACAACTTAGAATCCTTGAGAATTGTTTGGAGGCACATTGAGTTTAATGATTGACCCAGAGGCATATGGCCATATGATGTGGCAGAGGAAGGATTTCAGTATAGCTCTGCCTGACTCTGGAAAGTCCCATATGGGTTTAAAATTGACACTTAAATATATGATAGGGGAGACCTGGGTTGTCAACAGCTCATGTGGGGAAAAAGTCCCAGTACTTTGGTAGACTGAGGCTGAACATGAATCAGTTAACTAGCATTTCTTCAGCAGTGCACTTAGGGTTAGGGTTAGAGGCAGAGACACTTAGAATTAGGGTGCTAAGTTCTGGGGCTACAAAAAGAGGCAAAAAAATAGTCCCAGCTTTCAAGGAGTTTATAACCTAATAAAGGAAACAACACACAAGCAATTATGTACAAATAAGGTACAGACAGGATGAATTGGGGGTAATCTCAGAGGGAAACCACTAAAATGAAGGAGACCTGGCAATGGGACATTGAGAGAAGAGGAAGAAGATATGAGAGAGGATGAAGGAAATGACCTGCACCAGGCTGATCTGATGAAGGATTGGAAATGAGGAGTTCTATATTTTGGTCTTTGCCCTTGAGTTGTCAGGATGTTTTATAAAGCAAAAATTACCTTGGGTGCTCTTAGCCTTTCTATTTGCTTAAGATGAAATGTAGGCTTTCAAAGGTCAAATCCAAATGAGCCACTTGTCCAAGATGATTATTTCTGTCCAGTGAATAGCGTCAGCAGATGGAAATTGATTGACTTCTGGTCTTCTACTATCTGGCATCACTCTATCTCTCCACCCCAATTTCCTATTCCTTTCCTCCACATACCTTATGCTTGGACAAACTGCTCTTTTTTTTTTTTGCCATAATGGTATTTTATTTTTTTCCAGTTACATGTAAAGATAGTTTTCACCATTCACTTTTATAAGATTTTGAGTTCCAAATTTTTTTCTCCCTTCCACCTCCCCTCTCCAAGAGAGCATGGAATTTGATATAGGCTATACATGTACAATCATATTATACATATTTCCACATTAGTTATGTGGTGAAAGAAGAATCAGAACAAAACAGAAAAACCATGAGAAAGAAAAAAAAGCAAAGAAAATAACAAGCTTCTATCTGCATTCAGACTCCATAGTTCTTACTCTGGATGTGGATAGCATATTTCATCTTGAGTCTTGGAACTGTCTTAGAATATTGTATTGCTGAGAAGAGCTAAGTCTATCAGAGTTGGTCATCACACAGTGTTACAGTGTTACTGTGTACAATGTTCTCCTGGCTCTGCTCACTGCACTCAGCATCAGTTCATGTAAGCCTTTCCAGGTTTTTCTGAAATCTACCTGCTCATCATTTCTTATAGCACAATAGCATTCCATTACATTTATATACCACAACATGTTCAGCCATTCCCCAGTTGATGGGCGTCCTCTGAATTTCCAGTACTTTGCCACCACAAAAAGAGCTGTTCTGAATATTTTTGTACACGTGGGTCCTTTTCCTTTTTTATGGTCTTTTTGGGATACAAACCTAATAGTAGTATTGCACAGTTTTATAGCCCTTTGGGCACAGTTCCAAATTGCTCTCCAGAATGGTTAGATCAGTTCACAACTCCAACAACGGTTCATTAGTGTTCCCAATTTCCCACATCTTCTCCAATATTTATCATTTTCTTTTTTTGTTGTATTAGCCAATCTGACAGGTGTGAGGCAGTGCTTCAGAGTTGTTTTAATATGTATTTCTCTAATCAACAGTGATTTAGAGCATTTTTTCATATTACTACTTATAGCTTTAATTTCTTCATCTGAAAACTGCCTCTTTATATCCTTTAACCCTAACACTTGGGGAATGGCTTGTATTCTTATAAATTTGACTCAGTTCTCTATATATTTTAGAAATGAGGACTTTATCAGAAATACTGGCTGCAAAAACTGTTTCCCAGCTTTCTGCTTCCCTTCTAATCTTGGTTACATTAGCTTTATTGGTACAATTTTTAAAAAATTTAATGTAATCAAAATTATCCCTATTACATTTTGTAATGTTCTCTATCTCCTGTTTGGTCATAAATTCTTCCCTTCTCCATAGATCTGACAGGTAAACTATTCCTTGACCTCCTAAGTTGCTTGTGGAATCACCCTTTATATGTAGATCATGTACCCATTTTGCACTTACTTGGCATATGGTGTGAGATGTTGGTCTATACCTACAAGCTGTTCTCCTCTCACTACTTCACATTTTTTGACTCTGTGACTTCTCTCATGTGCTTACCTAGACATAAAATGCCCTGTCCCTTCCCCTTTTCCTGTGAAATATCAACTCACCTCTAAAAGACCAACTTAAAAGCCGTATCATTCAGGAAGACCTCCTTGATTTCCCCAGTCAATGCCAACCTTTCCCCCTTTTACCTTAGCTGGCACTTTGCATACTTGTGAATAGTTTATAGTAGGTACTTAATAAATGCTTGCTGACTTGACTTTGTGTACATATGCACCATAAGTCTCCTAAGATTTCTAAAGCAAAAGTTAAATCACATCCCCTCTTTACCACTGGGCTTCCCTCTTTTTTCCAGAATAAACTATGATTTCTTGTTTGGCATTTAAAACCCTTGACAAAATGGTTCCAGCCTTCCTTCCCAAGTTTACTGTACATTACTTCCCTTCACACATATACTATATTCTGGACACACTGGACTATGTGTTGTTTTTCATGTACTATATTCAGTTTCCCATGTCTGTGGCTTTGCATAGGCTGGCACCCATGATGGAATGCACTCCCTCTTTACTTCCTCTTAGAATCCTGATCTTGCTTCACAACCCAGCTCGAGCCATATCTTGTATGAGAAATTTTCTGATCCTCTCACCGCCCCAACTGTTAGTGGCCCATTCCTGCCAAAACTACTTTGCATTTACTGGTGTGTGTATATGTGTGTGCACATGCATGTGTGCATGTGTGCATGTATGTGTGTGTATGTGAAGTTTTTGCTTCTCAGTGGACCTGCCATCATTCCTCACAAGGCACCAGTAGAATATCAGCTCTTTATAGGCAGCACAAATTTAGTGTTTTGTTTTTCTTTTTTGCATTTGTTCTCATGTTTGTAACTCCCAATATAGTGCCTGGAACATGCTAGGTGCTTTACTTGTGGAATCTGTTTGGATTGTTGAATTTAATGTATCATATCTCTATGATTTATAGCACATTTTCTCACTAGTATAAATCCTAAATCTATGCCTGTTGAATTTGAACATTAACTCTCAATTTCAGCATAAAATAAATAAAAGAGACAATATAAGAGTTTAAGAAATGCATGTTTGGTGTAGCTTCAGTAGACAAAAAGCTATTGAGACAGGGTTGCTTCATTTTTTCATCAATTGCCCAAGCATTATGTTTGCAATTTAAGTGAATCTAATAGAATGCTGCAAATTGAATTAAGAATAAGTGAGTTCAAGTCATGCTAGTTTTCTGACCATGGAAAAATTGATCAACCCTCACCACTTCATGCAATTCTGTACAGTGATAAGTGACAGGTTGAAGTTTCAGTATTGGTAGAGTGATTTCCCACACCGATGAAATCACAGGTCCTTGACATCTTCACACAAGGGACAATGGTTGCCTTATGAATCTTAATCATGGATGGAAGGTGATAAATTTCTGATTTTCTGTTTTTTTTTTTACAGGTCCTTTGTCATCCAGCAGATCCCAAGCAGCAATCTATTCATGGTGGTGGTTGATAATCAATGTGCCTGTGATTCTGTGGCACCCATTACCATGGCTCCAATTGAGATCAGGTATATCCTTTCCTGGGCAAGTCCGAGCACCTGCAGAAATCACACATTCACTCATGCTACTGCTTGTGAGTAAAGGTGGAAGGAATTATAAAGAATCAGGAAAAAAAAACATTCTCATTTTTTTAAATCTGATGAGCTATTGGCATGAAATCCCATTATTTAAAGCAAATCAGAATTCATCAAATTACATAGCTAATTCCCACAACATTCTGGGGTTTTAGGGGAAAAGAGGACAAGATATTATTTCAGTCTTTTCTTGGGGTGGGGGCAGGGAAAGGGCTAAGGGAGAAGAAGTCCTTAAGAGAATTTATGGCCACATTCTAGGCTCTCTAAACCTTTATTCAAAAGTAACATACTTAAGATTGCTCCTTAACTGTAGTAAACATAATGAATCCCTTAAGTGTGAACGCTTAAAATCACAGAAAATCAGAAGGCGGCCAGAATCCTGTCATGGCTTTCATCCTGAAGTAAGTCATAACCCGAGTGTGTGTGTGTGTGTGTGTGTGTGTGTGTGTGTGTGTGTGTGTATGTGTGTGTGTTGGGGGGATAATAAGGGGCTAAATACTTCCCTTTCTAATCCTAACCCCTCCTTACCACTGCAAGCACAGGATAAAGACACCACTGAAGACAGATGTTTCTTAATGATGTGTGGCCCCTTTTGTCTGCAAGAAGAGGTCAAATAAACAAGTTAAAGGTGTTAAAAATGAAAGGGACTTAAAATATTTGTAACATGTTTTTATATAATTTTCACTGCCAATATATTGCTTCCCTTCCCCCATTGAAAGAGCTCTTGAAACAAAGAGAAAAAGAGGAAAAAATGGGATGGGGGCAAGCAAATCAGCAAAATTATTGAACCAAAACTATAAATATACCCGAAGTGCTCCTCTCATAAAGAAAGGAGGTACAATCTCCTTTATATATCTCTTATTCAGTTCAGGTTCATTTATTATAGTCACCTAACTTTTAGTTTTGATTTAAAAAAAATTCCGGTTATAGTATGGTAGTTATTGAAAATATTGTTTTCCTGGTTCTGCTCATTTCACTTTGCATCAGGTCATACAAGTTCTCCCTGGTTTCTATGTATTTTTCATATTTGATTTTTTTTTTCATATGGCACAATAATATTTAATTTCATTCATATACTATAATTTGTATAGTCACTCAACTCATGAACAGGTATTTTGTTTCCAATTTTTTGAAGCTTCAAAAAATGCTGCTATAAATATATACATATATATATGTGTGTGTGTGTGTGTGTGTGTGATGTATGTATATGTATACATATATGTGTATCTATATATGTATACATATATGAGCATGTATATGCATATCCATATAGTATATTTATATAAATCCATATATATCTATATCACAATATATACACAGACCTATTCATATATACATATACATGTAATATGTATGTATTTTTTCTATCTTGGGTCTCTTTGGGGTATGTGCCTAGTAGGGGAATATCTAATTTAAGGGAAATTGACTTTCTTGCCACTTCCTCTGTATATACTGCTTCCCAGAATAGTTGCACCCATTTGCAGTTCCATCAACATTCTATTAGTGTAATTTGTCTTTCCAAAATCCCTACATTGTTAACATTTGTTGGAATGTGAGATGAAACCTTCAAGCTATTTTTAAAAAAAATATTTAAAAATAATGCTCTGAAAAAGTATTTTATTTGTTGATTAACAGTATACATTTCTTTTAAGGACTTATCATCTGACCAATTATGCTTTGGGGAAATGTCTCTTGTTCTCTAATATTTGAATTAGTTACTTAATCCAGATACAGCAGAGAAAAAATACCTTCTTAGTCCCTTTCATATTATTCTAGGTTCTCACTATGACCTCCCTATTTCCTTTCTCATGCCTTATAAAACGCTTTCGTTCTTTTTCTTTTTTTTTAATTTTGATTTTGATTTCCTCCAAAGGTCTCAGAAAAAAATCTAAATCTGAGAATTTCAGTATTCTTCATTTTCAATTTAAAGCCTCCCTCCCGTCAGCTTCCAGCCTGCCTAATAGTCCTACATTAGAACGTATTGGAAACTTGTGAATTCTCCTGAAGTTTATTCACAGATGATTTCTCCTTCAGAAGTAGCCTCCCTTTCCCACCCAAACACACCCACTTACCATACTCAAGGTCACCCCACCATCATGTACTCATGGAATAAGCACTTTTCCTCTTAGTCTCAATTTGGCACACTTGGAAAGATGATCTTGCTGTCAAAGTATGGACTTCATACCAAAGTACAGTAGAAATTGTTTCTGCCTTATACATTTCCTCATTCCTCCCTTGGAGAAGTGGCTCCATCTTTGGTGTGGATGGTGGAGAGTACAGTTAGGAAGAAATGCACCCTTTAGTACCATCATCTTTTTAATCTGAGCAATCAGTGACTAGTTAGGTTTAGCTTCACAAATGATCAACCAACTTCTGAAATAATTTGGTCACTGTTAGATCCTCATCTATTCTTACACCTCTGAAGATTCGAGGGGATATAAGGCTAATAGCTTGCATTTTCATAGAGATTTAAGATTTGCAAAGTACCTAACAAATATTATATATTTTTCTCCTCACAGCAACACTGCAAATCAGTTGTTATTGTTATCATCTTCATTTTTTAGATGAAGAAACTGAGGCAGACAGAGGTTAAGTGACTTATTCAGGATCACCTAGCCATCAAGTGTGTGAGGCCAGATTTGAACCCAGATCTTTCTGACTCTAGGTCCAGCTTTCTAGCTTGGTGCTACTTAGCATACTGTAAATACTAGTGATGTAAGACAAATCTTAGGATCATGGGAATCACTATCCTGGCTCAAACCCATCATCTAAATAATACAATTATTCATTGTCAACAACGAATCAATGGATACTCCATGGAAGAGTAAAAATGTATTTTATTTTTAATTCGAGATTTTATTTTAAAAACAATTTTGAATATTGACATATCAACTAAAGTCTCTCCATAATTATTTACATTCAACAGTTATCATAGAACACTCACCATCAAGATTCTTTGACTAATCATAGTAATTCACTTTTTCCTCTCAAGTGATCGTAGTGAAATGGGTGTAAAAAGAGAAGGTCCCTAATATGAGGGACTCCATTTAACTATGCTCCATTTCAGTATAAATTCACTAGGCATGATGATTTCCCTGTGTTTATGTTTACCGCTTGTCCTCGTTCCTGGCTAAGACTTATGTTACACAGTCTTATACCATCACCTGTGTCCTTCTTCCTACAATGATACCGCTAGATATTGCAAAATCGTATTTGAGACCTGTGTACTCCATCTTTATCTCTCCTGCTATGAAACATTCTTACATTTGTTCCACAAGAGTCTGTGATTCAGCATAACTGCCCTCATTTTTTTCTTTTCTTTGTTTTCTTTTATGTCACTGGATGAAAATTGTTTGTCATTGGGACTCATTTAACTAATAGAAAGTTTTGTCTGTGTGTCAATAGACCTTTCGCATATAGACATAGCTAGTACCTTCTGTGCATGTTATTCTGACTTCACCCAACAATTATGAGCTATGGGGTTTCTCCATGGCATTGCTGGGTGGTTCATTCTTATGGTTCTACTTTTTTTTTCGCTTTGTATTATTTCATAAAGGGCTTAGAATCATAGGGGGGAACATAGCGGCTATGTAGCCCAGCCTTTTCAATGTACAAATGAGGAAAATGAGGCCAAGGGGGGGTGAGTGACTAAGCAAAGTTGTCATAGGTAGCAAGTGACAGGCAAGATTTACAATAGATATTCTGTCTCAAAGTACATTGTTTCTCTCATTATACCACACTGCCCCTCAGTCTTCTCAGGATTCTTTGCATTCCTCAAAATTGCTGTTGCACAACTTTCTGGATCATTCTTCTATTGTTAGACATCTAAGTCATTTAACGTTTTCTCAGTTAGATATGATGATAATATGAAAATTTTTGGATGGTTCATTTTTTAAAACACTTTTAGAACATATTCCTAGAAATAAAATTTTTGAGGTCAACAGATAAGATTTTTTTAAAAGAAAAGTTTACTGCAAACTGCTAGATTATCCTACCAAAAATATGTTTACAATTTCTCCAGTAATGGATGAGTATACTTGGTTCTCCTCAAACCTGTTAGCATTTAGTTTCATTACTTTCAATTATTTTTGCCAAAATTTGATAGTTCTGAAGTGCGGATCCCAAGTGGCTTTATTTTTATCTCTTTCATTATTACTTGCATGAGAATTTTTGGGTCACTAACAGTTTCTTTCCTTTTTGCACAATTATCTGTTGATTTATTTTGCCTATCTATCCACTGTGATCTGAGAGACACTGCTGCAATTTAAAAAAAAGTTCCCTCTATATTCTCACTACTATTTTAGCCATCATAGTGGTCAAAACATTCTTCTATAATTTTACTTACATTGTTTTTATTATAGAATATTTTACTTATTTAAGTATGTTTGAACACAACTATCTTTCTCCTAATATTCATTCTATTTATTTGAATTTGTTTAAAGTTCTCCCTTCCATAATCCCATTTTTAATCTCTTTATAGTTTAAAAAATGTTTAAGACCATCCTCTTACTGGAATTCACTGAGGTATATAGTATAAGATATATGTTTGCATCACCTTTTCCAGGTTTGTTATTTCTAACACAATTGATTGGATTTTCTTAGTTGACATCTGTTTCTAATATTCACAAATTTCTCCAAATCCTAACCATCATATTCTCTGTTCCTATTCTGCTGTGTCTATCTCAAAGTAAAGAATTCACAAGGTTAGTAATCTGAAATAAACAGAACAATGGAAGACACCCCAGCCCTGACCCTTGTCTTTAAAAGATAGCTGACCTATAAAGCATATGCAGAATTGTTTTTATTTCGTTTTGTTCTGTTTTTACCAAAGAGGCTTCTCTTCTCAATGCTTAACATTAACAGCGCACAAACACTGATTTAAAATATCTGAGACATTTATGTAAATTCAAATTTTCCCTTCTATAGCCCAATGAGATATAGACAAACATATTTCCATGCATTATTAAATCTTAAATGTACTGCTCATCATCATGGTGGTGGCCTGGGCTTCTGAAAAGCTATACATTGGAATGCAAACTCTGGAGGGTCCCACCCAGTTGGGAAGGATGGTGGTATGTGCGAGTGCCAGACCTGTGTCTGCTAGTTAAGAACCAGGCTTCCAAAGTCTAGAGGGACCCATTCCCAGAATATTGGTCACTGGGTAACCATTGTGTTGGCCATGGCAACACCGGAAAGAAAGAAAAGTCAATATTGCTGGGGCCTCCATGGGGAGCATGGTGTTGACCTTGTTAATACAGTCCAAAGTGTCCCTTGGAAATTACTGAGGCATTTTCAAAGACTCCCAAGCTAACAAAATGGTATCCTCGTATTCTTTCCTTTAGGAAAATGCAAGAGAATGTGGGGGAGCCCTGGGCCTTTGTGCCAAGCCTGCCCTCCTTATGATCCCGCTGCTTCTGATGCTTTTCTCAAGGTGACACTGACTGGTTTGTTCCATTGGCATGCTAATTACATGGAGAAACTGTGAACTGAAATATGGTGCAACATAGACGACATGAAATATAGTCCAACCATCAGCATTTCATGATTTTAACTGTGCGTGATATAAACTCTTAACGATATGTCAAGAAAAAAAAGGTTATCTTTTTACTTTGCCAGTCATGAAAATGTGCAGTTGCCATATGATAATCTCACTTCATCACAAACAGGGCATCAATTGGTAGACAGGTGGTGGTCCTTCTCTGCTTTGTTCCATTGATGCCAATTTACACCTGTGTACTTTTTAAATAAAGTATATTAAAATCATAGTCACCTCGTCTGAATTCAATATTGCAACATTTTATAAAATATCCCTTTAAGAAACTCAAATAGCTCATACCAGCTTAGTAATTAGGAGATAGTTTGTTCTTGTGGCAAGGGCATGCAGAATCTGAAATGGCCACACGAGCCATTAATACCCCAACAATATGAAGAGAATTCAAAGAAGTCTGTCAACAACTTGAGTGGACTCTCATTAACAAATTAATGAAAGGCCATGGGCTGGTCAGACAGGATGCCAGGCATGTGTGAGCTGGGATCTACTTGGATGAGGGAGAGCTACCCTTGGCATTATCACAGATGAGTATGGAATTAACAAGCCATGTTTATTGTGTGTTTCAAAATCTGCAAAACACTTATATGCATTATCCCCATGGAGCCTCAAAGTAACTCTTGACATATCTCAATTATCATTGAGCATACCTTGGAAAGATGGGGAAACTGAGGGCCAGAGGGTCATACGGCTAATAACTGTTAGGGGTGGATTTGAACCATCATATTCCACTCGGCTAAAGAAGAAAAAAAGTTAGTAAAGTCCATCATAAAATAAGTATTCCATAAAATAAAGATTCAATGGTTAGAGGTTATATCCATGGTTTTTATCTTGACTTAAAAAAAAATCTTTTAAGAAAGATTCACTGATGCTGGGAGCTGGAATATACCCCAAGAGGAACTGAAGTGCTTGAATGTTACCATTGTTAATGGCATTTGGTGCATTCAAAAACTCAGAAGAAGATAATAATAATAATTATTATGTCAAATTTTGAAAAGTATTTCACATATGCCATTTCTTGGGAGCCTCACAGCAATTGTTTGAGTTGTTATTCATTGAATTGTACAGCTCAGAAAACTGAGTTTCAGAGGCATTGAATGACTTGATCGGGATGTTCCAACTAGAAAGTTGAATTGGTGGAATTTGAACCCAGTTCTGCCCGACTCTGAGAATCAACCTTCTCATAACATGCTCCAGAGTAAGACACAAAATGATTTTCAAGAACTCATTGTTCTTATTCATATGTTTAATATAAATACATACATACATACATACGTGCATATATGTGTGTATACGAACAAGTATTTATGCATATATGTATGTACACAATATACATACACATGTATACATGCATACATACACATATGCATATACATGCATACACACATGTGTGTATTTATATGCATGTGTGTGTGTGTCTGTGTGTGCCTGTGTGTGTATACTTAGCCTTCACAGAAAGAAGAGAATAGTAATGAAGACAGTAGCTGAAGCTACCTTCTGCAACACCAGATTGTTTCTGCTTCCATGAATGGGAGGTGAAGTTGACACAAATATACGAAAGATGAAAAGACCAAGCTCTTACTAACTATTGTGAAACTCTAGGTCCTGTGCATAAGACAATAGTTCCCATAGTTTCATTACTGAAAAGGAAAATTAAATTATAATATCAACAATTCCAGTCTGTAGGGATCTTACCATTCATGTAGCCAAAGCAATGCCTCATCCAACTCTATGAGTCCATGATTTGATTTTTCTGTGGTAGTAATAATTTCCCCTCAGAGCTAAATGCTGAAAAGAACAGCTCCTGGAGAGGCTGCATGGAATGCCCAGAGCCTGAAGACCTAGAGTTCGAATTCTACTTTTGACATAGTCAGTCTCCTTTGCTGGATCTTCCTCCACATCACTAAGTGTGAGTGTCCCCAAAGCTCTGCCCTGGGCCTCTTCTCTTTTCCCTCTATGTTATCTTGGTTGATGTTTTCATTAGTTCTTTGACATTTAATTGTCATCTCTATGTAGGTGATTATCAGTTGCATGTCCCAGCTTTAGCCTGTCTCCTGAGCTTCAGGTCCGTATCACCACCTGCTGACCTATCCAATACATTGTCAAATCATGACATTTCTACTTTGATAGCATCTTTTGTCTATTGTGCTTATCTCTCTCTACTCATGCATTTGCCTTGTGGTGTAAGTCCATGTCTCCTCTCAGCTGGACTATTGCAATAGTAACTAAGTTTTTCCTAACTCCATTCATAGTCCACAAATTCCCAAAGTGATTTTCCTAAAATGCAAGGGCTCCCTATTACCTGAAATCATGTATAAACTTTTCTAGCAGTGCAAGCTCTTTGCAATCTGTTGTTGTTCAGTCATTTCAGTAGTATTTGATTCCTCATGACTCCATTCGTGTTTTCTTGGCAAAGACACTCGAGTGGTTTGATATTTCCTTTTCCAGGTCATTTTGTTATGAAGAAGATTTTATATTTTTAACATATTATTTTCCCCAAATTATGTGTAAAGACAATTTTAGCATTTAAAAAATGAGTTCCAAATTTTCTCCCTTTCTCCCTCCTTTACTTACCCCTATCCTGAGATGGTAAGCAATTTGACATAGGTTTTACATATATGCAAAGTATATTTCCATGTTTTAAAAAGAAGACACAGTCCCAAAGGGAAGGCATGAAAAAACAAAGAAAGTGAAAAATGGCCTGTTTTTTTTCTACATTTAGACTCCATCAGTTCTTTCTCTGGAGATGGATAGCATTTTTCATCATGTCTTTTGGAATTGTCTTGGATCATTGTATTGTTGAAAATAGACTAGTCATTCACTGTTACTGTGGATGATGTTTTTCTGATTCTGCTAACTTCACTTTGCATCAGTTCATGTAGTTCTTTCCAGGCTTTTATTTTTTTTTTCTGAAATCTACCTGCTCATCATTTCTTAGAGCACGATAATATTGCGTTACAATCATAGACCACAGATTGTTCAGCTGTTCCCAAATTAATGGGCATCCCTTCAATCTCCACTTCTTTGCCACCAGAAAAATAGATTCTCCAGGTCATTTTGCAGATGAGAAAATTGAGGCAAACAGGGTTAAGTGACTTGCCCAGGGAAACACAGCTAGTAAGTATCTAAGGCCAGATCTGGACTTAGGCATTCCTGATGCCAAGGCCAGAGGACTGTGTTCCGTGCACTAACTACTTAGCTCCCTGTAATCTAGTCCCTTCCTATTTTTCCACATTTTTATCATTCATTCCTCCCTTTCCCTATCAGATCGCTACAGTACCTGCCTGATTGCTCTCTATCTCCCCTCTCTGAGCCTTTGCACTGAGTGTTCCTTTTCCCCCCATCCCTCTCCCTCCTCAGTTTCCTTTCTTGGTACCTCATTTCCAGAATCAGATCAAGAACATTCTTTTGCTTCCAGCTTGATCTAGCTCCCTTTTTTTGCTAGTGCTTCCCCCTCCAACTTCAGCTTCTATCTTAGTTTTTCAGATCTTGTATGCATGTGTGTGTTGTTTCACTCATTAGAACATACACCTGTTGATGGCAGATACTGTTTTGCCTTTTGATTTTTTTTTTCCCTATCCTAGAGTGGAACCCACTGAATTCTTGTCGCATTGGTTTGTTGAGCTAATGCTCAGAGGCAGCTGGATTCCATGGAAAGTATAGTGGATTCTGACTCAGAGGACTTGAGTTCAAATCCTGACTCTGATAATTTTGTGTGACCTTGGGCAAGTCACTGTCTTTTACTGGGCCACTATTTTCTCTTCTGTAAAATGAGGTCATTGGACCAAATGACCCCCTAAGAGTTCCTCAATGTCTAAATTTATAATTATGTGATCCACTTCCCTGATTCCATGACATTTCCAAACCAATGATCAGTTACCCAACCAGTTAGGCCTGACATAGTGCATTCATCAGAATGCTGTGGCCACCTGTTCAGAATGGTATTCAAGGGAAGGAAGCATGGATCAACTTGGGGAAGGCCAGCAGTTTTGAGGGGTATGTGTTTGTTACCAAGCCTCTTTGGCTAAGGAAAGAAATTCAGTGTTCCTGTCATTCCCAGCCCCTGCCTCAGTTGCCAGAGACACAAAGACAGTGTATAATTAGAGGCCTTGGGATGGGTGGCAGAAAGCCTGCTTGTATTTTTCCTCTCCCCACTTTAACTGCACTGTCATCCCTACTTGTTGGCCCCATGCCTCAATCCCTTCTTCCCTTTCTCCTTCTGTATGCTCCTTCACCACACTCCCCACTTCCTCTCTCAATCCAAACCACACGCCCACATGGTCAAACCTTTAAAAAGTAATTGTCCCTGTGCATTCTCCCCAGTCACCAAAGGGTTTGGCAGTGGAGGTCTCACTGGCTTGCTCACTGGCACATTTAGACCTAAAAGCCCAGCCCCAGAAGAACATGGGAAGGATGGCTGTCTGCTCAAGAAAGGCAGAGAGGAACCTGCCAAGAAGGAAAGAAGAAATGTGAACTAGCTTCAGGATCACAGTTTACGCTGGGTTCTACCCAATTTTGCCTGGACGGCCTCACGTTGTATTGATGTGTACGAGCTCAGTCCTTGACTGGCTTGCAGGCCTCAAAAAATCAGTGCCTATGTCTTCAGAAACTTTGATATCCTTGGCATCCAGCTTAGAGCTTTGCACAGAGTAGGATACTATGAATCGTTCATGGTGAGGATGATTCAGAGGAAGAGGAAAGCGAAAGAAGAAAAGGAACAGGAAAGGAAAAGCAGAAGGAGGAAGAAGAGAATGAGAAAAAGGAGGAAAGAAGTAAGTGCTGAAGGAAGAATAGAGGAATTTCCCTGTCTCAAGCTTCTCCTTGTTCCAATCCATACTTCACCCAGCTGCCAAAATAAGTTTTACTGAAGTGCAGCTCTTTCCGTGTCCCACCCCAATGCAATAAACTTCAGCGGCTCCATATTAATTCTGGGCTCAAATGTGCTGTTCTATGTTTAGCATTGAAAGACCTTCACCTTGCCCTTTCCAACCTTTGCTGTTACCCTTGTTTGGCTCTCCTCAGCTGTTGACTGGCCTACTGCAATAACCTTCCCACTGTTCTTCCTGCCCCAAAGCTGTTCGTGCTCCAAGCCTTCCTCCTCCCAGCTGCCAAAAGGCTTCTCTGAAAGTCCGAGATTTGTTGCATCACTCCCTTACTTAGTGACATGCAGTGACTCTCTC